ACTGGAAACGAGGTGCACGTATGAGGATCCCCGCGCTGAGTACTTTTGGTGCTGCGTCCTCAAGACGCGCGCGGGGCCCCACCCAGCCCCGCAGCGCGACTGCGCGCCCCCCGCCGGGCGCCATCCCCTGGCGCTGGCCTCGGGCATTGGGTCAGGAGGGGGGGGGGGCGATACAGGGGGGGGGGGCGACGAAAGGTGCTCTTTCCGTGACCTACTAGAGGCGCCGCCAGGAGCCCAAAAGGGGCAGGAGAGATGGAGATGCACGTTCCCCCTCCCCCCCCTTTCATCGCCTCCCATGAGTATCGCCGTGCGCGTTCCACTACTCGCAAAGTGCCTACTCGCAAACTTCCCCCCAAAAGGCAATGTTGTTCGATGCAGAGAAGCATGTTTGCTTCGATGCGGTGGATCCCGGCCACTTGCAAGTAGTTACTCTGCCAGTAGCGGAACGCGCCTACCTAATCAATGAACGCCCGACGGCCGCGCGCCCGCGCCTCCTCCCGCGCCCCTCAGGGCAGCTCAGGAGGGGATGCATCGACCCCCAATCGCCCATCGATCGGGAGCCTGTCGCTGATCCATCGGCGATTCATCGCCGATTCCACGCCGATGGTCCTCCCCCTGAGCTGGTCCACCCTATCGTTCCCCCTCAGCCCTTAGCTGGGGTGCTGCGAAGGCTATCCCTGGCTAAAGGTTCGCCCAGGGTGTCCCAGAAGGCCCACATAGCCTCCAGGGCCGATAGTAACGATACTTGCAGTATTTGTTGGTGCCTAAACTTATCATTCATGTCAGGGCGAGAGGGGGTGAGGAGGGGTGATGAAGATGAGGATGATGGTGAACATGAAGATGACGATGATGAACATGACAATTAGGTTGACGACGATGACGATAATGATGCTGCTGATGATGATGATAATTATGACGATGGTGCTGATGCTGATGCTGATGCTGATGATGATGATGATGCTGATGATGATGATGATGATGGTGCACATGATGAGTATGATTATGATGAGTGACGTTGATGCCCGTGGTGATGAGTATGTTGACGGCGACGATGGTGGTGATGATGCTGCTGATGATGAAGATGATTATTGTGATTATGCCGATGGTGATGATGACGATGACGATGATGATGCTGATGATAATGATGATGATTAGGATAATGACGATGAGGAGGATGCAACATGATGCTGATGCTGATTATGCTGATGATGGTGCTGCTGCTGATCCTGAAGCTGATGCTGCTGATGATGATGCTGATGCTGATGCTGCTGCTGATGATGATGCTGATGATGACGACGACGATGCTTCTGATGATGATACTGAGAGGGATTATAATGAGGCTGGTGCTGATGCTGGTGCTACTGATACTGCTGACAATGATGTTGTTGATGATGATGCTGATGTTGATGATGATCATGGTGCTGATGACGATGACGACGATGATGATGATGATGATGAGGAGGAGAATTAGGACGAGCATGATTCTTGATGATGATACTGCGGACGATGAGGACGATGCTTATGATGATGATAACGATGATGATGATCATGATTATGATGATGCTGCTGATGATGATGACGACGATGATGATGCTGATTCTGATGATGATGACGATGATGATGCTGATGCTTATGATTCTGATTATGATGCTGTTGATGATGATGACGACGATGATGATGCTGATTCTGATGATGATGATGATGATGACGATGATGATGCTGATGCTTATGATTATGATTATGATGCTGTTGATGATGATGATAACGATGATGATGATGATGATGATGATGATGATGATTATGATTATGATTATGCTTATGCTTATGATGGTGAGGATGATGGTGATGATGCTGGTGATGATGCTGCTGCGGCTGATGGTGATGCTGCTGTTGATGATGCTGCTGATGGTGATGATCATGATGCTGTTGACGCTGCTGATGATGATGACGACCATGATGATGATGATGATGATGATGATGATGATGATGATGATGATGATGATGATGATGCTGATGCTGATGCTGATGCTGATGCTGATGATGGTGGTGGTGGTGGTTGTGGTGGTGGTGATGATGATGATGATGCTGCTGCTGATGATGATGCTGCTGATGATGATGGCGATGGCGATGATGGTGATGATGATGATGATGATGATGATGATGATGATGATGGTGCTTATGCTTATGCTGATGATGATGCTGATGCTGATGCTGATGCTGATGATGATGATGAGGATGACGATGATGATGATGATGATGATGATGATGATGATGAGAATGACGACGACGACGACGACGATGATGATGATGGTGGTGATGATGATGCTGATGATGCTGCTGCCGATGATGTTGTTCTGCTGATGATGATGATGCTGCTGATGATGATGATGATGCTGATGCTGCTGATGATGATGATGCTGCTGATGATGATGGTGGTGGTGTTGATGATGATGCTGATGCTGATGCTGATGCTGATGCTGATGATGACGATGATGATGATGATGATGCTGATGATGATGATGATGATGATGCTGATGATGATGATGATGATGATGATGATGATCATCATCATCATGCGGTTGCCCCTGCTGCTATTATTACTGATGGTGATCATGATTTCGCGGATGAGCATGGTTGTACTGATTTGATTGTGAGCATTTTCCCTGATTATGTTGAGGATGATGATGATGATGATGAGGAGGAGGTCGTGGTGGAGGAGGAGAAGGCTCCCGTGGAGGCAGGAGGAGGAGGAGGCCGAGGAGGAGGCTGAGGCGAAGGAGGAGGAGGATGTGGAGGAGGAGGAGGCTGAGGAGGAGGCTGATGAGGCTCAGGAGGAGGAAGAGGACGAGGAGGAGGAGGAGGCTGACGAGGAGGCAGGAGGAGGAGGAGGGGAGGAAGGAGGAGGAGGAGGAGGAGGAGGAGGGGAGGAGGAGGAGTAGGAGGAGGAGGAGGGAGGAGGAGGAGGAGGAGGAGGAGGGGAGAGGAGGAGGAGGAGGAGGAGGAGGAGGAGGAGGAGGAGGAGGAGGAGGAGACTGACGAGGAGGTCGGGGATCCTGCGAGGGTCCCAAAGGTTCCACAACATCTACGGCCCGAACGGCACCTGGCAGGGAGGCCGAGAGAAGGCGCCGGCCGCCTTCTGCAGAAAGGCGACCACGGACGCAGTCGACCCGCTTCCTCCTTCTCGCTCGTTCCTCCTCTTCCCTCGTTCCTCCTCGTCCTCCTTCCTCGTTCCTCTTCCTCCCTGCTCCCTCATTCCTCGTCTCTCGTCCCTCGTTCCTCCTCCTCCTCCTCTTCGCTTGTTCCTCCCTCCTCCCTCCTCTTCCTCCTCCTCCTCCTCATCCCACGCTTCCTTCCTCCTCCTCCTCCTACTCCTCCTCCTCCTCCAGCCTCCTCCTCCTCCTTCTCTTCTCTTCTCTTCTCTTCTCTTCTCTTCTCTTCTCTTCTCTTCTCTTCTCTTCTCTTCTCTTCTCTTCTCTTCTCTTCTCTTCTCTTCTCTTCTCTTCTCTTCTTTTCTTTTCTCTTCTCCTCCTCCTCCTCGTCGCTTCTCCTCGCTTCCGCGCGCGCATCCCTGCTCGCGGGGGGGGGGCTGTTTTTTGCAGCGAGCGAGGCGATCACAAGCACTGTCGAGTTCGAGATGTGGGGCGACGGCATCCAGACGAGGACCGAGATGGTCGATAAGCTCAGGAGGTTTTTAGTGATTGCCAACCCCTGTGTCTCTCGGTGGGGGATTTTCAGCTGTTGGTGGGACCCCAGTCCGTCAATAAGGTGGCCAAACAGATAATAAGTTTCCAACTATTGGGGGGATCCAATGACATTTCGCGGTTGCACTGACGAGACGAAACGTGACATCTCTGCGTCGTGAACAAACATCTTCTGGACCATTCTTGGCCTTCGGGGGCCCCCGCTGGGCCCCGGGACCGTTCAACTCAGATGGAAAAGTCGGTTCCAGGTAAGGGGTTCATTGTGAAACAAATCACGACGCCAGATGTCTGGGACTGGGAACAATGACTGGCAGCACCATCTGTTAATGTTTTTTTCCAGGGATGTGCTGCTGGGGTCAGTTATTGGCGCGTTAGTGGCGAGCGTCATGCGTTTGGTTTCGCTCATCGGCATTTCAAAAGCAGTGGCGGTCCATTTTGGACATCCTTCGCTGTTGGGCACGGCGTCCGTTGATGCTGTCTCCACTCTGGCTGTGCCAGCAGGAGTTTCGTCTTCGTCGAGGACTGCGTGGAGGGAGTGATCCGGATCATGATGTCCGACTGCGACGTTCCGCTGAACCTCGGCACCGAGGAGACGGCCTCTGCTCCCACTCCCTCATCTTTTAGCCTCCCTCCTCTCTTTCGAGGGCTTGACATGTTCTTCAGGCTGGAAAGATCGACGTCAGTCTGCGTGCACCGATGCAATGCCAAATATGTTCGAGGTATAGGCATGAGTATCAAGATACACCTGGAGAAGTTGTGGAAGGTCCAGCCCACGTTGTTAAGCCCTCAACGATCCACTCTCCCTGCCCCACTTCCCCTTCAAACCGCACCTCTCTCACTCATCCCCCGCTCCCCTCTCCTCCGACCCGGCCAGTTTTTCGAGCTGCATCCAGCAGTGGCCACGCGGGCGCCCCGAAGAGGCCCAAGACTACTCCAAATGCCTTGCAGTCTCGATCCCATATCCCCTCCCCCCCCTCCTCCTCCTGATGCCATGATTTCCTAGTGGCATTGGTGTGCTCCGCACGCTGCCGCTGTTCCTCCTCCTCCTCCTCCCTCCTTTGTTCCTCGTCCTCCCACCTTCTGAGGAGGAGGGGGGGGCTTCTAAGAAGACAGGTGGCTTCTTAAACACAGGACGGGAACGCACACACAGACACAAGTCATCGTCGACTCCCAGGAAACGATGGGAGAATATGGGACGTGGCGGGGACGACGAAGACCCAGGAAATAGGAAATATGGGGAGTCCTGGGATTTGTGTGCCCTTATGTGCGTGCCCCTGGGCACCTTCTGAAACGCCCTCCCGGCTTCTCGGAAGCCTTCTCAGCGGCTGCTGGGCCCTTCTCTCAAGAGGGCTCTCGCCCTCCACGACCCCCCCCCGCGGCGGATCCAGGTCATTTGCGAATAGTCACTTTGCGAGTAGTGGAACGCGCTTGTCCACGTAAGGATCCGACGAACCCTCACCAGTCAGGGGCTGCTATTCGTCGGAGCTCTGTTGTGAGGCCTGGTCCAACCAAGCTGGAATCTGGGTCTCGATTAATTACCTCCCCTTGGCAACTCATGGGCACTTAGCGCCGATGAAAAATTCTTCGACACGAGGAGATGATCAGCATGAACGACTTCGCGAAGCTCGTCATGTCCTACGAGAGCAAGGACCTGCCCATCAAGCACATCCCGGGGCCGCAGGGCGTCCGCGGCAGGCCAGCCCCGCCCCACCTTTCGGGCTGCGACGCCGACGACGCCGACGCCGCCGTCAGTGACGACCGCTGCGGCGACGACGCCGACGACGGCTCATGTAGGCAGCACTCCGCCAGGAACGCGGGGCCACCGTCTCCCTCCCTTCTCTTTCCTCTCCCTTCGTCCTTCTCCCCGTCTTCTTTATCTGCTTCCCCCGTTTGTCTCCCCTTCGTCCCCACTACTTCCACACTTTTTCCCCTTACTTCCCCCTTCCTCACCCTTGCCCCCCCTCTTCCAGCCCCCTTCCTCCCCATTCTCCGTCAGCCCCCTTTTCCCGTCCCTCTCTTCTCCCTTCCTTTCCCTCCCTCTTTTCCCCCCTTCCTCCCACTGCCCCCCCATCTCCCCTCCTCCCCCCTTCCCTCCCCCTTTCCCCTTCCTCCTTCTTCCCACGCCTTGCGTTATCCCGTCATCTCTCTTCTTCTCCCTTCCCCATGCCCTCTCCCACATGTGCCTCCCACCCACCCCTTTTCCAGGACGCGGCAATCCCGTGCAGCTTGAAGAATCCTTTACCCCTCCGCCTTCCTCCATTCCCCTTTCTTCCCCTCTTTTTTTCCTCCCCCCCTCCCCCCCTCTGCGCCCCCACCCAAGCGTCCCCCTTACACCGGCCCCCTTCCCCCCGTCTGCCTGTTGCCCGTCCCCCTCCCTCATCACGTCACCCTCGCCCTTCCCCTCTACCCTTCTCTGTTTCTCGTCCTTGTCACACGCCTCGGCCGCCGTCGAACTCATGAGATCGGGGCGTCGGAGTCCTCTCTTCACTGTCCTCCGCGTCTTCCTCTCTTCCCCTCACACTCCCCTCCATCTCCTCCATCTTCTCCTCCCCCGCTTCCCCCTCTTCCTCGTTTCCTTTATCTCAGGCCCCAATCTGGCTCCGGGGGGTCCCGAACTCATAATAGTCGCTCGCCGCGAGTTGTTCTGGAGCACGCGCTAAGAGCAGAACGATAATGAGGAGGAGGAGGAGGACGAGGCGCAGGAGGAGGAGGAGGACGATGATCGTCAGCAGGAGGAGGGTGAAAAGGGGAGGAAGAGGAGGAGGGGGAGGAGGAGGAAGACGCAGCAGGATGAGGAAACGGATGACAACGGTAAGGAGGATAAGGATACGGACGTGGATGGTGATACTAATAGTGGTGATCTGATAAACATGATGATGACGATGACGATGACGATGACGATGACGATGATGATGATGATGATGATGATGATGATGATGAAGATGATGATGATGATGATGATGTTGATGATGGTGGTGGTGGTGGTGGTGAAGATGATGATGATGACGATGATGATGGTGACGGTGATGGTGATGGTGATGGAGGTGATGATGATGGATGCTGATTGATGCTGAGGCTGCTGATGATGATGGTGATGATGATGATGATGAGGATGATGATGATGATGATGATGATGATGATGATGTGATGATGATGTGCTGATGATGAATGACGACGATGATGATGATTGACGATGATGATGGTGAGTGATGGGATGCGGGGTGGGGTGATGATGATGATATGATGGAGATGCTTGATGCTGCTGCTTGGTTTTGTTTTGTTTTTTGTTTTTGTTGTGGTTTTTTTGCTTTGATGTTTTGATGTGCTGATGATGATGGTGATGCATGATGATGATGAGGATGAGGGATGATGAGGATGAGATGCTGCTTGCTGCTGCTGATGATGAGATGACGATGATGATGAGGAGGAGGAGGAGGAGGAGGAGGAGGAGGAAGGAGGAGGAGGAGGAGGAGGAGGAGGATGATGATGATGATGTGGTGGATGATGATGATGATGATGGATGATGTGGGCGGGGCACCGCCTTGCGGGAGAGTCTAGCTTGGGGGTGGGGGGACCCTTGTTTTTTTTTATATTTTTTTTTTTTTTCGCCAGGCCCCCCAAAAAAAAAAAAAAAAAAAAAAAAAAAAAAAAAAAAAAAAAAAAAAAAAAAAAAACAGGAGGAGGGCGTTCCCAGGCCAGGGCCAGGGTTGGTCAGGGATATGTCGCCTCTTTGTTTTTTCTATTTTTTTTTTTTTTTCGTTTTTTTTTTTCGTTTTTGTTTTTTTTGTTTTTCTACTTTTGTTCTTTATTTTTTTCTTTTTTTTTCTGTTCGAGTACTTTTTGTTCCTCGAGGGAAAGCCAACACCAGGTCTAGATCGCCAATTTCTCCTTGGTCTGGTGAGGGTCTCCCTTCTCTTTACACCAGCACCCTTGTGCTCGCCCTCACCGCCGAAAAACCGACTGCAGAGCAGGAGGAGGAGGAGGAGGACGAGAAGGAGGAAAGAAGGAGGAGGAGGAGGAGGAGGAGAAGAAGGAGGAGGAGGAGGAGGGCGGAGGAGGGGGAGGAGGAGGAGGAGGAGGAGGAGGAGGAGGAGGAGGAGGAGCAGCAGCAGGGGGAGCAGGGAGAGAAGGAGGTTGAGGCAACCCCGCCGCAGGAACTCGGACAACACGCTGATCAGGGAGAAGATCGGCTGGGAGGCGGGCACCCCCCTGGCAGTTGGCATCAAGACCCTGGGCGTAAGAGAACGGTGCCCACCTTGCCCCCATCTCGAAAAAGAGAAAGCGCACGAAGCATAACTCGACGGAGGTCCGCGCGGAGTTCCTGGATAGGTGCTGGGCTCTCCTCCCTGGTGCGCGAAGCCCCGAAGCGCGGAAGCGGGAGTGCCGGAGGCGCCGCCGCCAGGGGGGATCCAGCGCTGACCGAAGAAATCCGTGCGGACCCCGAGAGTTTGTTTATGTTGACTCCCCAATCGGAGCTTGCCTCTGTAGGTGTCCTAGCGGATTCATATGTGTAGGTGACCTACGTCGCCGATTTCGGTGTCCGGGCCCGGGTGCCTGGGTGCCCGGGGGTGCCTGGGTGCCCGGGTGCCCGGGTGCCCGGAGGTGCCCGGGTGCCTGGGTGCCCAGTTCCCTGTGTGTCCGGGTGCCTGGGTGCCCGGTACCCCTATAGCCTTAGAGCCTTATATCCGTATAGCCTTATAGCTCTATAGCCCTAGAGCCCTATAGCCTCATAGCCCTGTAGCCATCCAGCCCTAAAGCTCTAATAGCCTTATAGCCTTATACAATAGCCCTACAGCCCTAATTGCCCTATAGCCTTTTAGCCTTATAACCCTATAGCCCCATAGTCCTGTAGCCCTATAGCCCTATAGCCCCATAGCCTTAGAGTCCCATAGATAGCCCCAAACAACCATCCTCTGGACTTGGGTCCTCGTTTTGAAGAGACTGTCCCCGTGTCTTCCTCCTCCTCGCCTTCCCCCTCCTCCCATCCCTGCCCCTGCCCTCCATCTTCATGCCGTCACACCCCTCACGCGATTCGTGGCCCCACGGGGAGCTTTTTGTTTCCTCTAGCCTCGGCGGAAAGATCGGGGAGGCGGCCTACACAGGCCCAGCTTTCGGAACCCGATCTTGGCGGGTCTCGGCGGCCGACCGTGCCAAGGAGGAGGAGGACGCATCCGCCGAGCCCTGGGCCCCAGAGGGGGCCTGTCGGAGACTCGAAATTGCGAGCGTGCGCCGACTCGCGGGCTGTAGCCAAGGCCGGGAGAATATGATGATGATGATGAAGATGAAGATGAAGATGAAGATGAAGATGAAGATGAAGATGAAGATGATGATGATGATGATGATGATGATGATGATGATGATGATGATGAAGATGAAGATGAAGATGAAGATGAAAGTGATGATGATGATGATGATGATGATGATGATGATGATGATTGTCATGATGATGATGCTGATGATGATGCAATTGCGGATGGTGGTGGTGGTGATGATGATGATGATCATGGTCATGATGATGATAATGATGATGATGATGATGATGATGATGAGGATGAGGATGAGGATGAGGATGAGGATGACGATGCTGCTAGTGATGATGATATTGATGATAATGTTGATGACGATGCTGATGCTGATGCTGATGATGATGATGATGATGATGATAATAATGACGATGCTGGCGACGAAGACGATTACGATTGTGAAGATGATGGTGATGATGATGATGCCAATGACGATGTCGACATAATGCTGTTAATGATGATGCTGACGATGAAAATGACGACGATGCTGCTGGCGAAGACGATGCCGATTCTGATGACGATGCTGCTAGTGATGATGATACTGATGATAATGTTGATGGCGATTCTGATGCTGACGATGATGATGAGGATGATGATGATGATGATGATGATGGTGATGATGATGATGATGATGACGATGATGAGTGGGAGGAGGATGATAATGCTGATGCTGGTGCTGATGCTGATTCTTATGATGATGATAATGATGATGATGATGATGCTGATGATGATGATGATGGTGATGGTAGTGACGACGATGATGATCATACCGATGACCATTGCGATGACGACGGCGATCATGATGAAACTGCTGCTGATGATGATGCTGATGCTGATGACGTGATGCTGATTATGCTGGTTATTATGATGATGCTGCTGATGACGCTGATGATGGTGATGATGCTGATGCTGCTGATGATGATGCTGATGATGATGGTGATGATGATGATGATGATCAGGATGTCGATGATGATGCCGTGATGGCATGGCTGATGACCATTCCAAGGCGACACAAGCGATGATTATGACGATGAAGGTGGTGATGAGGATGAGCAGCAGGAGGAGGAGGAGGAGGATGATGATAAAGAAGATCATGATGGTGACGATGACGATGACGACGCCGACGCCGACGACGACGCTGATGAAAATACGATGACGACGATGACAATGGTGATGGTGCTGACGACCATGATGGCGACGACGATACTCACGATGATGATGCCGATGACGATAACCGCAATGATGACGCTGAGGATGATGGTGCTTGCGATGATGATGATGATGCTGCTGATGTTGATGATGATGGTGATGATGATGATGATGATGATGATCATACTGTCGATAATGATAATGATGATGATGACGATGATGACGATCATATTGATGACGATGATGATGCCGATGTCGATAGCGGTGCCGATGAAAATGGTGATGATGACGTGATGCTGACGATGGCCATGACATTGATGATGATTCTTATGGTGATGCCGATGACGATAGCGTTGATTATGATGATGATGTTAATGCTGATGCTGACGATGATGATGATGATGATGATGATGAGTATGGTGACGATGAGGCTGGTGATGGTAAGGATGATGACGGTGATAACGATGACGATTGTGATGACGAGATGACGATAAGGATGGATGATGATGATGATGATACTGATGATGATGATGATGATGCCAATGCTGATGATGGTGATGATGATGCTGATTATGCTGCTGCTGATGATGATGATGATGATGATGGTGGTGATGCTGATTATGGTGATGGTGATGATGATGATGATGATGATGATGATGATGATGATGATGATGATGATGATGATCACGATGACGATGACGATGACGATGACGATGCTGATGATGATGACGACGATGAAGATGATGATATTTTGTAGCAGGAGGAGGAGGAGGAGGAGCTGGAGAGGGGACTTGGCAGAAGGAGGATGAGGTAGGGGAGGGGGGTGGAGGAGAGGAAGTGGATGTGAGATAGCTAGCGGCATCGGATGCTGATGTCAATAGCCGCGTTGCCCTCAAGGACCACATACTTCTGGATCAAGGAACAGGTGGAAAAGATGAAGGCGTCCGGGAAAGACACCGCTACCCTCAGCCAGTCCAAGATCGTAGTGCAGGACATGCTGGGCTCCCCAGATGAAGGAAGAGGAGGAGGAGGAGGACGCTGATGACGCTGAGGGGAGGGCGAGGGCCAGGCGGATGATGGTGATGATGCTGATGATGGAGAGAGCGTGATCCACCGCCGCTTTACTGTGGAAAATTGCCAACCTTTTCCTCCGGAACCCGGGGGTCGCCCCTCCCCCCCCCCCTCCTACCGAAAATCCCCCCCCCCCCCCCCCCCCCCCCCCCCCCCCCCCCCCCCCCCCCCCCCCCCCCCCCCCCCCGCCACCCCCCTGCTGGAACCCTTCCCCCCCCGGCCCTCCCCCGAGGCAACCAACCCCCCCGCCCTAACCCTCCCCCCCCCCCCCCCCCCCCCCCCCCCCCCCCCCCTCCCGCTCGAAAAACGGGGGGGGGTCACTACCGGTTCGACCCCTACCCCCACCCTCCCCCCATTCGGATCCGAAACCGGGGGGGTACCGTCAATACCGGTTCGAAAACCCCCCCCCCCCCCCCCCCCCCCCCCCCCCCCCCCCCCCCCCCCCCCCCCCCCCCCCCCCCCCCCCCCCCCCCCCCCCCCCCCCCCCCCCCCCCCCCCACCCCCCCCCCACCCCCCCCCCCCCCTACTCACCGCCAGCAAACGACTCCCGGTCCCCACCACCGTCCGCATCACATCCCCCACTGGTGTTCCCAGCACCACTGTCCTCACCACCGCTGTCCCCACTGGTTCCACCACCGCCCTACTGTCCCCACCAGTGGCCCCACCACTGTCGCACTGTCCCCGCTGTCCCCAGAACTGTTCCCACCACGGTTCCACTCTCCCCACTGTCTCCACGGCCCCAACCACTGCCCGACTATCCCCACTGTCCCCACTATCCCACTGACTCCTCCGCTGTCCCACTGAGCTGTCCCACTGTTCCCACCACTGTCCCCACTGTCCCCGCCACTGTCCCCACTGTACCTCTGTCCCATTGTCCCACCGCCGTCCTCGCCACCGCCTTCACCACTGTCCCCACCACCATTGTACCCTCCACTGTCCCACTGTTTCCACCTCATTCCCATTGTCCCCACACCACTGTCCCCACCACCACCGTCACCACCACTGTCCACTGTCCCCCCCTGTTCCCACCATTGTCCCCACCACTGTCCCCACCACTACCGTCCCCACCACTGTCCCACTGTCCCACTGTCCCCACCACTGTCCCGCTGTCCCCTCACCACTGTCCCCACCAACACCGTCCCCACCACTGTCCGCACCCCCACTCGGTTTTCGAGGGGGGGTGGGGGGGGGTTCGAACTGGTAGTGACCCCTCCCGGTTTTCGGGAGGGGGGGGGGTTCGAACCGGTAGTGACCCCCCCCCTTTTCATGATGAGGGGGGGGGGGGGGGGAGGGGTTCGAACCGGTAGTGACCCCCCCCGGTTTTCCGGAGGGGAGGGGGGGGGAGGGGTTCGAACCGGTAGTGACCCCCCCCCGTTTTCCGCCAGCAGCGGTAGAACACGCTCTTTCTGATGATGATGATGATGATGATGATGATGATGATGATGATGATGATGATGATGATGATGATGATGATGATGGTGATGGTGATGGTGGTGGTGGTGGTTGTGATGATGATGCTGCTGCTGACGATCATGATGCTGATGATGCTGATGATGATGATTATGATTATGATTATGATTATGATGATGATGATGATGATGATGATGATGATGATGATGATGATGATGATGATGATGATGATGATGATGATTGTCATGATGATGATGATGATGATGATGATGATGATGATGATGATGATGATGATGATGATGATGATGATGATAACATTGACGTTGAGATTTCACTTATCAACTGACCGCGCGCGGAGGGCGGAGAGAGGGCTGCGGCTGTGGCGGGAAGCTCGGCGTCGTCGCGGTCACCTGACGTGCGTCCCTGGGCGCTCGCACTCTATCACGGGGAGTGGCTGAGCCTGCAGCAGCAACGGCTCCCGATTGAGAGGTCTCTGCGATTTGCTCAGGTGCCCCGCTTTCGGCTGACACATCTTTACAGCTCTCTCAGGAATCACAGCTGATACCTGTAACCCAGCTCAAGAGCAAACCGGCTCACAGCTGACACTTGTAGTTGCGATTTGTATCTCTTTTCTTACCTTCTCGTTCAGAGTGTGATTGTCACATATTGTTTCTTGCTTCTCGCTTCCAGCCTTGTGACGCAATGATGAATGAGAGGGATCAGCGGACAAATGGAGGTGCTAAAATTGGAGTGTCGCCGGAGAGCACAGGAATCCGCAAGGCGTAAGCGATTGCTATCCAGGATGAGGACGTAGCTATCGACGACGGGGACAGTTCAGAGTTTGAAGTGGAGGTAGGGAAGGAAGGCGGCAGCGTCGAAATGATCCAGGAGGAGCCACCTCTATGGTTCAAGAACTACATGACAATTTTTGAGACATTGTTCACTTCCATACCCTCGAATGTCACCGACAACTTGAGGAGGTCCATACCGTCGAGCAGACCGCGAAGTACGAGGCGCTGCAGCCTTCGATGCTCAGGCGGCAGCGGTGACGGTAGAGCAAGATCTGAAGGTGCTGAGGACGGAGCTCGACGCGCAGTACATGACGAAAGACGCTGTGAAAGAGATGATGTTGGACCTGTTGCCAGGCAGAAAGCACACCCACGACCAAACCACGAAGCAGCACAAACAAGGAGAAGAGGGATGATATTCAGGATGTGAAAGCGAATTCAACGGAGAGTTGCAAAGGGGGGATTCGAGGCAAGGCAAGCGCCGACGAGGATCACATTGTTCAAGCTACCGAAGGGGTTCTTGGCTGAGGGCTTCCCGTCGGAATGAAGTGAGCAGAGTCTTCGCCTTCGGTGACCCTTCGGGGACAGGTGTCATCCAGTTCGAAGTGCTATCCGCTAAGATTGGCCTCGACAGGAAGAACGTGTCCGAGGCGTGGACGGTGGGATCTTTTTTTGGCTTTCTAACGACCAGAATTTCGAGCAGAGGGTCTGGGACAAAATTTTGGAGCTGATTCAGCTCAGTCGGATTGAGCAGAACAGCTACTCTCATAACGATGTCAGGGTCAATTGGCGGAAGGGCGCCGTGAGTTTGAAGATGACGAAAGTCGCTTGGGTGAACGACGGCGCCGAGATGATTTTGAAGGACGAGGTGGAGGATGTGAGGACGGTAGTCGAGGAAGGGATTCACGAATGGAGGGGCAAACGACAGAACAGGGAACAAGGAACCCATTTCTGCGCACCACCAAACCGTACCCGTATGCGTAGTGTACAAAAGAAAGCATGTTCAATACTTCTTTGTTGATCTGACAATCCGTCTACTTGCGCACCGGGTGCAGGAGGTGGTCGAGGAGAAAATTCTTCTGTATCCGGGGATGTCCCAGTGTCTCCCTGGGCACATTTAATATCTAATAATACGAAGCTTGTTGTTTTCTCGTGCAGCATCCACTCGTTCATGAGCTTTTCAGAGCGGCTGGACCATGTCCTGAGCGAGCCTGGGAATCATATTTTTCAAAAGAATACAATATAAAAAGAAGAAGGATACGTGGAGGGTGGATACATGCGAGGTATTTAGAACATTTGGGGGGCTCGCGTGGTTCGGCAGCAGAAACGTCGATGGCCGCCACGGCATTGGCATGCTCAGGCGCAGGAGGTGGACCCGCACTTTTTTCAAGGCAGTAAGTATGCGATCGCGTGGCCGTGCGCGGAATCAACGTCAACAGCTTGCCCTTAGAAATCGTTCGGAGTAAACATGCCCCGCGCTGAGATGGGCGTCGAAGATTTTTGTTGTAAAAAACATAGTTTTGGGGGATGTCTTTGTATTTTCTTCCGTTTTGATGTTTTTGTGTTTTCTTCCTTATGAATGATGTTGTCATCAAGGGGTCTGTCGACAAGGGAAACGCCTGGTGATGGCAAGTGACTTTGCTGCGGCAGTCGGGCCACGCGCTGCTGATGAGTACAGTGACACGACAGGCTCGAACAATAGCCGGGCTCGACATTTCAGAGGGGAGTGGTTGTTTCAATGGCGCGTTTGTCAGAGTCCACGATGTGCCAACACTGTCACTGACCAAGACGACGATTTATGGGCGTATTCGAACATGTGTTTACACCAGAAATTCGATTATGTACTATTGGAAAAGAAGTACAGTGGAGACACAGAGCAAATCTGGAGTTGCTATCTGGATCGACGCGGGCTCTAACCACAGGGCAGGTCGATCGCTGTTCAGCGTGGCATCTCATCGCGAGGGTGAGTCCACCGCGAGAAAAAGATTGGAATGGGGATCTGAGATTGATGACGTTGGATGCCGGCCTCGAGAGGAGCAGCTCGAACGGGCTGCGTCCGTCGGGGCGAGCTCCCTGCGCGGAGAAAGCGATGGCGAAGTCTCGCTCGACGGCGCTGCCGAACGCCGAGAAGTCGATGTCGCGCCGCGCGGGGCAGGGAGAGATCGACGATCTGAGTCGCCAGCGCCGGCGCCTCGGGCAACGCGGCGCTGGGGCCCCTCTGGAGAAGGAGCACCGCGGGGCGGGTCTAAGCAAGCGCATCGAGAAGCTAGTCTCCCGCGGGCCCAGGGGCGAGAAGAAAGCAGAACTCCAGTCGCTCCTCGGCGACTCCTGTAGCATGTCTTCTGTGCTACCTGCAGGGCGCCCGCGGCCGAGGACGTGCGCGGCGAGCGTCGTCGACGAGGGCGGCGCGGAACGCGCGTCGAAGGGCTAGATCGCAGAGGTTTTCGCGAAGTTTCACGAGGAGCTATATGCAGCGCAGCGCCCAGACAATGGCGGCGCCATCGGAGCCGCGCCAGTCCCTGACTTCGCGACAGTGGAGCTGGAGGAAACACTATCTCGCATGGGATGAGGTCGATGTTGTGGCGCGTCGAGGGCCGCTGCGGAAATGCCCGAATATGGCGGGCGACTTCCCCGGGAGGCCACGTTGAGCTTGTCCAGCGACGTCCTGCATTTTGATGCGGATCGCCCGGCCGATTGGGCAAAACGCGCCGAGCGGTCTAAT